CAGGACCATCCCAACGCCCGCCATGGAGGTCTTGAACACTAACGCTGCTTCTTCAGCTGTCTTCCTTTCAAGCAACCGGAACAATTACAACCAGTAAGTTTTTCCAGGCTGAGACCTCATGCACACATTATTCATGTACAAACAATTAGTTTACTACAAAAAGTATTTCTGATAACAGTTGTAATAGTAACGAGAACTCTTTGAGGTGCTGTTTATGGATTGAGATGAGACTGCTTCTCCTTTCAGATGCGCAGGGTGAGCTTTAGCACCACTGGAGCGAAGAGATGAGGAGCTGTTCGACTGGCGTGGGGCAGCGAAAAGGTATTTATCAAACAATCTTTCCACTCTAGCTTAAGGCTTTCATTTTTTAAAAATTACAGTGAATTATGCTTGCTTTTGTTTTGGACAATTTGTTGTTGCTGGACAATTTGTTTCTAAAGTCACATTTTTGTGGAAGCTTTCTAATTTCAAGCACTTTTGCGAAAAAATTCTAGTTTTTGTTTGCCCCATCTAAAGTAGAACACCAGCAATGTTTATTATGGTCCAAACTGTTGAAAAATTTTAATTCCAGTTTGTCCAGTTCTTAAATTTTGTTTTCCATCTCCTCGCAAACAAATTTATTTGGTATGTATGTTCCAGATCGCATCTCAACATTGCTGCTCAACCAGATGGAAGCCATCCCACTTAACGGCAGGACAAGAGAATCATTTGACAATATAATATATTTAATTGTATCATGTCATTCATCTGACTTCTTGACTTCTTGGTCTTGGATCGTAGTATAGAGCATGGATTTTGTTGTCTTGGATCGTAGTATAGATCATGGTATATGGCTCTTTGGATTGTAGTATAGAATGGTGTTTGTTGTATTGGTTCTCGTGTATTAGTTTTTACATTTTGGTTGGATTTTGCAGGGTTTTTTGCTTATATTTTGTGTTGGGTGTAGAAAAAAAAATCTAATCTCTTCCTTATTTTCTTGACATCAAAACCATCTGCGTACTCTTGCATCATACATCATTTCATAGAGAGCAAAACTGTAAAATTTATTACTGTTCAGAATGTTAAGCATTTTTCCAATCCATTCAGTACTTCCTATTCATTTTAAATATGTAGTGAAATCATCCTATTGTCTCTTATGGATTCAGTCCCTCACTGTTGTCAACCTATGGACCTTTCAGGTATTTAGTATTAAGAATTTTTTACAATGACCTTTTCAAATTAGTCTGTCTTCAAAATTGAGGGCTGTGTTTTGCCGATAAAATGTGAAGGAAGTTTATAATATATTTCCATGGAATTTTGAAGAGTTCAAATTTATTTAATGGCATAAAAGTTCAGACTATCCTAAATCTTCTATGTAAACCCCCATCAGGGTGTCGAGCACATTTACCAGAGTTGAGCATATGCACCTTGAATGAACTCGATACTACCATTTTCTGGACATCTATATCAACGTTACTGTGCTCACTTGTATCATACATCATTAAGACCAAAGAGAAAAACTGTAGATGGTATTCGAGTTACTACGTATTTTTTACTGATAACCCATAGTTCTAAATGTACTTATTCCTTATTTTTACTAAAACTGACTTCATCTATTGTGCTACATACAAAAGATCGAAATAAATAATCTAATCTAATCTAATCTAATCTAATCTAATCATATGCTTGTAAATTGTTTCATTGGTATTGGCTGTTCAGCAATTCTCAAATGAATTGATTACTTCCTATTTAGCAATCTGTGCAAATTGTTCGACCATTTATTAAGTTTCATATTACTCTAGTTCATGTTCTGAAACTGAAATTAACCATACTGTTAAAGTACTGTCTCGTGTGGAATTGTGTGCTCCTCGTTAACATGTCAGCTAATTTTTGATATTTTGCATTTGAGGCAAGGAACTCAACAAACTAGTTGGTACTGAAATGTATGTATCCTATTATTGTGTCTTGGAAATATAATTTATTGGAAATGCGAGGTGAACTATTTAAAATAACCCAATCAATTTGCTACTGCCACAGTTAAGGAGAGGACAAAAATTGAATTTTTAATTTCTTGGTAGTTCTTTAATCTTGAAACATTGTGTATATTATTGATGTTAAATCTGCACTAAGGGGAACGAATAGAACAATGACGTTCATATTGTACACAGTCCCTTGAAGACTGTCTCCACCAGAAGGAGAAAACGTACTCCCTGTCCCCCTCGCTTCTCCTGTAGACGGGGGCAGGAGGGATCTGCGTAGGGCGGGTGGTATTGATCCCCTCTCCGCGAGCGCTCCAAGCTGCAACAAGCTGCCACCGCAACAGCCCGCCAAACGACAGGCACCTCCGAGGCGGCGAAACGCGTTGGTGCGAGAGAGACGCACAGCTAGCGGGCATAAGAGCCCACGGGCAGGGTCATGGGTTCAAGGGTCGGGGCGGGGACTCCCGGGTCATGGGTTCAAGCCCTGCCGCCGGCGCTTTTTATTTGTGGGTGAGCAAAAGAGGAAGAAATCGCTTGACTCAGCTACCGGTGGGACTCGAACCCCCGTGAGTTAGATGGAAGCTTTTTCTGCTGGAAGAATTCGAACCGGGCGACCAACAACAAAAAA